ACTCTTTAACATACTGAACAAATTTTAGAATCAGAAGATGAATCATGCTTGAATTTACCTATACCAAAAAAAATGAAGAATAAAAAAAAACATGCACATGAAAAAATATGTTTCAGAAAAGAAATGTTTAACTTGATGAACGGAAGTTTAAAAAATGAACAGAAAAAAATATTTTTTAAATTATTTGTGAACAAAAAAATTATATTCTCTTTATAGATGGTCCGGAAGAGTCGAAAAACTTATTTATACAAAACGTTGATTAATTTTTCTATTTCTCCAAATAAAAACATTATGTCAATGGCATAGACTGGCATAGCAACTATTTTGCTTCCAAAGGGGATGACATGTCACACAACTTGTAGACTCCTTTTAGATCTCGGTTATATAGAGAGTGATTTTTTGAATTTGAGTCAGGTAAAAAAAATTAAGAATAGTTGGTTTAATTATTTAGGATGAGGTTTCAATGATTCTAACAAACTCATTGGAAATAGTTGACGGGACGTTAAGAGATTTATGTAATACTGAAAAATATTTCGGAAATGAATTGAACATTTTAGGAGGTGATTTTCGTCAGATTCTCCCAGTAATAAAAAACGGCAATTGAAAAATTAGAACTAAAAAAACTATAAAAATTTTCCTTTCTTGGAACTCACTCCAGACTTAAAAACTAGAAATCAACATTCGTTTTAATGATAAAGTATTTTCAAGATTATTATTGAAAATTGGGAAAGGGGGAATAAAAACTTTTAACATTCCTAAAAATTTCATATCAAATGATGTATGTTCTCAAATAATTTCTAATATCTGTAATTGTTCGATGAAAAGTGTTATATTAACATTGCATAACGAGTACACCTGTTATTTAAATAATAAAATTCTCAAATAGTTAACTAGAGAAATTAAAACTTACTATTGTATCGATAACGCAACTTTCGAAGGAGTTGATCATTCGGACAATTATATTTATCTAAATTTTCCGTTGGGAACCTTAAACAATATTCGTGAAGGATTACTAGCTCATAAAGATAATCTAAAAATTGGTACAATAGTGATGTTACTCAGAAATTTAAGTACATCAGATGGACTGTGTAATGGAACACGTTTACGAATCACGAAATTAGTTCAGTATAATATAGATGGAGAAATTATAACTAGAGAAAAAATTGGAAAGAGTCTTCATTCCAACAATAACTTTAGTCACAGGGAACACCTGAACATTACTTTTTATTTCGTATCGTAAATAGTTTCCAATCGTTGTGGCATTTGCTATGACAATAAACAAATCTCAAGGTCAGGTTTCAAAGCTCACGTTTTGATGATGTAGGTTTGTACTCAAAAAAATTCTTATTTTCTCATGATTAATTATACGTGGCTTTATCAAGATGCAAAAATAAAAATAATTAAATTACTCGAGTACAAAAAATAAGAAACACAGAAGTCGATGATATTGTTTGGAATGCGATATTTACATAATTATTTGACTTTACTTGATAATTTTTATAGATAAATCGACAATATTTATGGCAATAAATTAAAAATTATTTATGAATATTTCATCATTCAACAAGTGTACATGACATGATGTATATTTTTTTATGACGATAATTTTTGTTAAAAA